GACGGATATCTCCTTAAATGGCTGTACTTGTCCGGAAATATATATTATCGGACTAGGCACGACCACGATTGTTGTACATTGTGTTTGGTTTATATGATCTGTCGCAAGTAAAGTCACAAGAGGAAACAATCCATAACAATATCTGACATGCATCATACCATTAGTATGACAAAGCTTCGCCTCTCCGGCAATCTGTCGGCCTTTCCGTGGCACGGCCGTATCTATGATCAAACAAATCGGCATGCTGAATACAGAACACCGACGTGATATATATAGTGTAGGTAGACATAGGCGACTCTAGTACACCGATTGTATAGTTGCGATACAATTCCCAGTTCTTCTTACAAGGCTGGAGCAAAGGTTGACAAGGGAAGTTATTTAGGTGATCACATAGCGCTAGGGCATACCCAGCGGTGAATGTACTGATGGTGCCGAAACCACAACCTCTTCCCACAAGTTTAAAACAGTAAGCATGTATATAGCTATTTTATACAACCTAGGTCAATATATTTATTTACAATATTAGATGAATTCTTGCTAAATGGAACGTAGGAAAACCCAATATCTGTGGCAATAGTAGGGTTTTGTATTTTTTATTATCGTGTGGCCAAGAGTCTACTATTAGACTACTAGCAGAGAGACCTAAAAACAATCGTGGTTATGATGCATGATACATATATATATATATATTTGCGATATTTTAGCTCTCGTGAAGAGGACAAGAAGCGCATTATCTGCGATGATCAGCACGGGTTGTCAGTTGAGAGCTAAACTATACATCAGAGGTGTCTGCGAGATTTCAATACACCACTTACTTTTATATAACCTACCACTCTTTATCCACTACTGTCATTTTAAGATCCCTATGTGTCAAAACTCAGATACTCGTACCTTCGGTACCTACAAAGATTCCAATTCCTAATGCGTGTTCCTATACTACAAGTCGAACATTTTCCTTGTTGTATTATCGCGAAGAGCTTTCGAGTCTCTTTCGAGCTGAGAATGACTTGTCCACATAAAATAAAGATTGCTGTTGAGAGTAACTCGTATAAGGTGAGAGTATAGTTGATCTGATAATCCGATATCGTCTCTGATAGGGTTGCTCGGATGCGAGTGTAAAGAATACAGAATGACTAAAATACTTTGAGCGTGGTTACACAAGCTTATCTGGTAGCAACGTTTTAGGTGGAGACTCACTAAGTGCAATACATCAAGGTTCATGCAGCCGCATATCGTACCCGAGAACAGGAAGAGTGGAGAGACTAAAGGCACATCGATATAAACTAGGCGCATGTGATAGTACGACATGTAGAACAGATCCCTCTGATATGAATCATACGTTGCTTCCGAATTTGAAGAGATAATCAAGAGCTCAAGCGTCAGCACCTCAGGTTAAAGATGATTAATTGCCTACACGAATGATATCAAAACTATGTGTTGATACTAAAACTACCAGAGGGAACGGTATGTGATGTCGCCGCGGAGGAACTTAATAAACCACATATTGAGGAGATGCTCTTTACTCAGTTTATATCCTCTCAGTGTTGCATCTTTTGACGCGCCAGTATTCGCATTCGACCAGCTATGGAGAGGATATTTATATATTTTAAAGGAGCGAGTAGACGACAGGAGAGCATACACAATCACACTTATAGAAAAACCAACGAATTATTTACTGTATCATTTCATTGGTTTATTTTATCACCGGTTCCATGACGACCTCGGGGTCCGCAATGGTTTCAAATACGTACATTTATACGTTTTTCGAATGTTTTATGTTTTGAGGGCTCTATATTCCCCAGAGATAAACACCCGCGCATTTCAGGCGCAACGGAAACGGGTACGGTTTTCAAAACAGTTGCATTTCGTCGCAAAGCGTATGGGAATATGGGGTTCTCTCGACCGGAGAGAGAGAGTATTTATTTTAGTGAGTGAGCTATGCAATTTGTTTCGTAAGTTCGCTTGGACCGCAATCACACTATGTGCTGAAGTTAGTCGGTATAGTACTGTAGAGTAGTAGTGTATAGAGGATTTAATTTTATTAGAGAATCTAACGACTCGAACGAAAGTCAAAGGCTTGCCATCACATAGACCAAGCACACATACATTAAAGGTCGAACCAGTAGAGTGTGTTGGAAGCTGACGTGGCATTATACGCACAATTCATGTGTATCTAAAACTACTCGCTTTTGCGGCAGTGTGACTAGAACGCGCACGAAATAGCACAATTATGTGGTGTTAATTGAATGAAGCACCCGAGGTGATAGGGCTAAGCGCGTGGGAATATACACCTCAAATGCCATACATAACGAGTTTACTAATACTAACATAGCATGGCATCGACAGGCGAAGGCGGGGGTGGCGGCGTACTTAGCTTACTGGAAGCAGGAGGCCACTTTGAACACACACCACATGCGACATCCCACTCTAAAGCCCAATCACATCCAGAAGAGGCAGCGCACGAGATTGCACCCTCACAGGCACAGAGTGTACATATGCAGCACGCTACACCACACACACAAACACAAACACTAACACAGAGAAATCAGCGTGATGCCGCCGGTGAGCAGACACACCGGCCGAGCTCTTCGGAAGATATAAGTAATGTGCATGCGCACGTACACAGTAGTAATGCACATGCAGCAAGTCCTATCCAGGATACGTACGCTGTTGTAGGCTCTGGCAATGCTAACGCGCACTCAATGTCACAAAAGCAGATACACGCATCCGATAGCATCCCACAAGTCCCAGCATCACATACAAAGCAACAACAACAACAGCAACAACATCAGCACGTAGGCAAAAACACACATGCGAAGGCGAAGGCAGGTCCAACAGCGGGATTTAACGGTTCAACGAACGCTGTCAATCCAACGCATACTGTGCCACACAACGCACATGGCGATGCGAATGTAGAGATGCTGATGGATATGCAGAGTGGAGGCTTCCACACAAATGCAACAAAAAAATCCCAGGGTAGTGGTACAAATGCGAATGCAAGTCATAGCACGAACGGGAAGGCGCATGCGAACACGAAGATGAACACTCCAGCGCATCAATCGCAACACACGCAACACATGCAGCACGTACAGTATACTAACACGAACGCAAATACGAATTCAAATACACATGAACGCGCATCGGTAAGTTACCAGGATTCGGGTGTAGCTGTGCCATCTCATGCAGATAATGAACGTGATGATGATATTCGTGCGCACTACAATGCTGTACACACGTCAGCTGGAAATACTGCGCGTGCACATCCACATGCACACACCCAAGCACCGAATATGTATCACACGCAAGGTCAGCCGATTCACCACACGCAAGGGCCTGCATATGCATATGGGCAACAGCAGCGACCACAGTCACATATGCAACAGGCAGGGATGCACAACACACACCCACACCAAGCACACCCACCACCACCGCAACAACACAACCAACAACAATTAGTTCAGCAACAGCAGCTAGCAGCGCACATCATGATTCAACCGTCGTACAGTTCCGAGACGTACGATGTCAACAAGAGATCGAATATCATTGCTCAGTGGTATGTATGCGTCTGAGGTTCAGTCTGTATGTGATATGCGGGCGAAAAATCTTTGCAGGTGTAAAGTCGTACGTTGTTTTTGGGCTTGCGGGCCAGGTTTCTATTATGCACAGAGTTGTTCACAGGAGAAATTGCTGCAAATATACCCCTCCCGTATGCATTTGTATATGTATGAATGTATATGCACATATGGATGTGTTGTATTTATTTGAACAACACATGCAATATATATATGCATGAATACTTTCATGCACACACACACACACACACACACACACACACACACACACACACACACGACGACACGACA